CCCCAGCAGTCGTGCTGGCATTAAACTGGACTTGCTCCAGTATGTCAGCGTCTTGTTTCCTCTGGGGAGCCCCAGACTGGACCCAGGACTCCGGATGTGGTCCGACAAGTCCCACAGAGGGAGGAATAACCACAGTGGCTACACCCTTGCTAATACAGCCTAGGAAGTGGTTGGCTTTCTTCTCTGCTGACTCATGTTCGGCGTGCTGTCCAGCCCAGCCACCATATTCTTCTCTGCAAAATTGCTTTCCACCCTGCTGCTGCCCAGCTTGTACTTTTCCATGGGCTTATTCCATCCCAAGTGCGTGACTTGGCATTTGGCAAGCGCTAACCAAAGCTGAAGTACCTAAAGTTAATTAACGTGTCTTAATTTTGGAGTCAAAGTTTTATTCGGCACTATGCAGTATGATCCGAAAAGCAGGGGACCGAGTTGCCACATGTTCTAGAGACTCCACCTAAGCAGAGGTTGCAGTGGGCATAGCTCACATAGCTACAAGTTAAAAAAATAAAAATAATAATAATAAAAAAAAATTGTTTCGGTGCTGGTGAAAAAGTTAAGAGAGACAGAAGCAATTTATAATGTTGCAAAGCAAACACAAAGGAATCTATTGCAGTGGCAATTTCCACAAGTCCATTACATCACACTTGTCTACCACCTACAGTACAGACAGAGGGGGTAATATTTTAATATTTATCTAAATCCCTGGTTGATAGCTGTATTTAGAAGGCTGTCTAAATCCACACTGTTATTCCAGTGCAATGCCTTCACATACCACCAGTTTTTCTACACTCACGGGTGTGAGATGTGTTCATCTGATTCGTGTCAGTATGGAACCATGCTAGGGCCGCATGGTATGATGAATGTGACCTTCTGTCTTACGTACCCTTGTATAACCACAAGTCTAAGAAAAACAGAGTGGTTAATGTATATAGGTCTTGTATCTTGCAAAAGAATGTTTTAGCAATTCGTGTCAATAGAGAGCTTGAAGGGAAATGTATTTGTAGGCTTTTCCTTGAAGTCTCTGATATCTGGGGGAGTTCAGAATAACTGCTAACTATTATGACTATTGGATGGGACACTATGCAAGTCTCTGATATCTGGCCAGGAGATTAACGAGACGGGGAGAGCTGAAGAACAACTAAAAGACAAAGCTTGCAGGGGAGGTTGTACAAGTCTCTGACATACAGCCAAGCTGGACAAAGGAGAAGGACAAGAGGGAGGAAGGCTATGAGCCTTCAGCACCAGAGACCCCCAGAAACCCCCAGAGGGACCACCGGAGACTGATACACATGCTCCAGTAGCAGGGTTTGGATTCTGGAAACTAATTATAATAACCCTGTTTTTTTTAGAAGTAGTAATGAATATGTATCAGCCTAGGAGCATAAAAATCAGCTGTCTGATGTAACTGGTGTGCGTCTTGGTGGAGCAGAGACTCCTGGCACACCCAGCGCTGTTTGCTTACCTCTGTTCCTTTAATAAACTGTAAACTTTGATTTTAGTCCTATTTTGAAGACTGAGCCATTTATTACATGGGTGAAAGTGAGGTGGAATAGAGGCGAAGGTTGATTACCAAACACTGGTCTGACTAAACCCATCAGAGTTCTGAAATCCTTCATAATGGCAGATGTGGAAACCTAAACATTTACCTGTTTTTACCTTGCTTCTGTATGCTGCCAGCCAGTGGCCCACGTCTGGGTATTCCTTCAGTCCTATTGCAGCTTTCAGTCTTGGTTGCAGCTCTCTTCCACGTGCATAGGCTGAGGGTGCAGCTCCCTGGCTTTTAGGTGGAGTTGCACGAGTATTAAAAAGTCAATGATAAAGCTGGCATGTTTGACTGTTTCATCTGAAAGTTATCCCTTTCTGTCTGGGCATGGAAAAAGTAGCCCTGAATAATGAACTCAGGTCAACGCTGCCAAAATCTCACTGCATTTTCTGTGCTACTAAAGAGACTGTCCCTGCTGCCAGCTGCAATTGCTTACAAATGTCCAGCAAGCTGTGTTTTATAAGGCTTCCTTTTAAGCCCAAGATTAGGCATAGGTTTTAGGGATTTTCTGCTTGGAAGGAAGGGAATAGTTATTCTGGTTCTTGGTAGTGTGCACAAACCTAATTTTTCCTGCCTGAAAGAAGACGCTAATATTAATTCACGGCGTAGGATGTCATTTGGTGCCCCCATCACACCCAACTGGTCCTTCTGTTGTCCATTAGGATGAAATAAACACTCTCCCTCACTGAATACCCTTTAGGTGTGAAGCTATCTGCCTGGCAGCGAGTGTGAAATAACTACCTGCTTTGTTCTGTCCTGCTTTGACAGCAGGCCCTGAGCTCTGCTTTCAGAGGTGCTTCCATGGCTTTACCCAGTGCAGCAAAACACGTTGCCGATTCCACTAGAAGCTCACTTGTCTAGTGGTAGTGATCAGGCAGTTTCCAAATTGCAGTCTGCCTGCAGAATTACTTGCACGTACAAATGGAAAAACCACGTGATCGCTTTGCAGCAAAGTCAATTAAAATGTCTGTCGCTGTTCTTTTTTTTTTTTTTCCCCGTATAATTTATTACAAGCATTTCTTATTTCTATTGCGATAGCGCCCCGAGGCCACTGGAAGAAGTGGGAGCTACGTTAAGCAACACGTTTCATAAGCACAGAGGAAGGCAGGGTGTTCTGCGTGGAAATCTTGCCTCCTGTGCAAAGACAAGCTGCAGCAGGTGGGTGGGTTTGCAAGTTTCGCCCAGTTTCTCACACCTCCACTTTTTCTGTAGAGCCAGTCAAAACCGCTGTAGCATGCCCCATGAATATTTTTTTCAGCCAAGCCAGAATAATTCCTGTACTAAACTAAGCTGGTGTTTCCTATTTGGCATTGTAAGCAAATTGTATTGCTTTCGTTTGTCATCCTTCCTTGCTTGTGAAGGCCTGTTTGACTTTTAATAGCCCTGGCCTCAGAGCAGCTATTACTTTGGTCAGATGCTTTTGGCTTCAGACTTTCCACGTGGGATCAAATCATGCTGCGGGGGCTGACAGCAGTCGGCCTGAAGCTGCCAGTAGTGTTAAAAATAGGCGTAGTGTGTCAGGTGATGCTGAATCAAGTCTTTTTATCTTTTCATCTTTGTATCTGCCCTAGTATATTTGTAGGGCTGTTCTACCGTGTCCTATCCTCACTCTTTAGCATCATGTGTTTTCTGCATTTATCGTTGAAGGTGCCCAAAAAGAGTTCATTTTTACTACATTCTAGGTGGAGTTATTTATTACCTAGTAGCAAAAGCTCAATAATTAAATTCAGAAGATGAAAAGCTTGACCCAGTTTTGCCACAGACTTGCTGAATGATGTGGGTGGGTCCCAACCTCTCCAATACAATTTCCTCCTCTGTAAAGTGGTGCCTATTGTATGGCAACATGGGATCCAAAATACCCCAAAACAGGTTTCAAACAGTGAGCTGCAGGAAGAAAGCATTGTAGAAATACAACTTCTTATTAAAGCAGAGTTTGGAGATATACCGCACTTGTTGCTATCAGCAAATGTGCAGAGTGTACTCGTGCCAGATGCACTGATGTACTAAAAAATTCAAAAGTTGACCTCATGTGAAACATTTGCCACAGCAAAAAGTCGTGTCCCTCACTCTTTCCTGACTTAGCTGTGTTCCCCGCCGGCACATCGCAGATTGCTGCGCTGTTCCCTGCTCCCTGGCAAAGTGCAGCACTATGCAGAGCTTGTGCCAGCTCTGGGTGAACTGCCTCGACATTAAAAGCAGGGCATTAAAGCATTAGTCCGGTTAAAATGCCTTGTCAACATAGTGAGAGCGAAATGGTTTATTTACAGGTGGCTTAGGTATGTGCCCAAGGTGTCGTTTTGCTGCGCAGCTACAGGGCACAGTTGCTAAGCATATGGTCTTGTTATTGATCTCATGAGAGGCAGCATCTCTTTAAATCACTGAGGAGATAAAGCAAAAAAAAATATTGACTCATATATCTAAGGTCAAAGAGACTATTATGATCACATAATATTACTTGCTGCATGTCATATAATTTCATCCAGTAATTTCTAAATCAAATGCAAAGTGCTTCAGATGAAACATCTGTTAGATTGAAAAGTAATTTAAAAACAAAACACTCAAATAATGAAGGAATAATCTCAAGCAATTTGCTTCACTAGATAACTAGCCTCACTGTTGAAAACCCACAGCTCGAATTTGCATTTGCCTAGTTTCAGCCTCTTGACGCTGCACTTTGTTTTGCTTTCATGCAAAATCAAGAAGCTCTGCATTACCAAAAATCATCCTTTGTAGTGATTTAGGCCATGAACAAGTCACAACATTCTTCTCTGTACAGATGAAGATTCTTTATTGACTTGTGACTGTAGGAATATTTGACGTCGATTGAAAATGTAGCTCATCACAACAGCAAATTGTAGTAATAAGGCAAAAAGATCGGGATGTCAAACACAAAGTCAAAAATGGAGTTTTCACTGTAGACTCTTTTCCCCTTTTATTACAATTACAATCCCCTGCTTACTGTAATAAGTGCATCAGCAGGATGTAGACTTTATTTTTTATTTTTTAAACTGAAGCGGGTCACATCAGCATAAGGGCCAGTTTTACGTTTAGGAATAGTAACTGAACCACCAAGGCATGTTTGACTAACTGAATAAAAGCATAGTCATACTCCTTTGTTCCCTAAATTGCATTTTGGAAATCTTTCCTTCAGATCTGACTTAATGGATATTAATGTCACGGGGAGCCTGCCAGTGAGGTCTGGATCTGAAATAAACCTCATTATGTCATGCTAAATTAAATTTTCCTGTTTTTCAAGCCAGGGCATTGGCTCTGTTTGTTTTGTGAATGTTGTCTCATCTGTAAAGGCCTGGAAAACAATGGTCTAATGAATCAAGTGGTATAGAATAAAGTGGTCTTAACAAGAATAGAAAATTAATTCTGGAATTCTGCAAATAGAAAGAATAGGATACAGAAGAAGGCAAATACATATTGAAGGGTACAGAGAGTTAAGATAATCTGAGTAGTAGATTCATTTTTATTGAAACGATGGTATGGAAAAATGTGTTTCAGCAAAGCAATGTTCCCATTGTAGAATATTAATCTTACACTGAAATACATAAATTTGTGTAGGTTTTATGAAATGCATAACAGGGAGGGTCAAAAGAAACCAGAATTGAGGGAAGTATGAACATGACATTTGCAAGGACCTTCTGCAGAGCTACTGTGAGAAGCCACAATTCTGTTTAGTCCTGTATGTGCAGTGCATCACTCCCTCGCTGGAAAAAAGCTGTGTGTATGATCTTTGGTTGCATTCCTAGCATACGTTAATGTTTTGTCACCACCCACTGACTCAAGGAGTGTGGCACAATGACAAGGGTTCCAAACAAAGGCAGTATTTTATGTCTATTGTGTTTGTATTAAAGGGAGGACAAACGGGCCAGTTTTTGTGCTACCCTATTTTCAGTACAACGATTTTGAAATTTCCAAGACAAGAAGAAATTTGGTTTACTTACGGATTTCCCAGTAGTTGCTGTGATTGGTGGAATAAAATGGAAATTATTCTTCTGATTAGGCTCCAACTTTGAGACAAACAATCGTTAAAGTGCATTAAATGTCACCTGCAGCTGTTTGATCAGGTGCTCTAATCTAGAAGAGCCTCTTGGCTCTTCTAGTTTAAACAAGGGGAGGAGGATCACCAGCGAGACAATTTCGCTGCAAGGCAAGAACGGCATGTGCAAGAAGAGGCATTATGTCAGGGGTACAACATTGCCTTTTGTGTCATTTCCAAATAATGAAATTATTTGTGAAATAAATGTGAAATAAAGGCATGGTGCTCTATACTTTTCCTCGACTCCTGTGCAGCTTGTTCTTGCACCTCCTTTGTACTCACTTGGAGCTGCTGGGAAGTCACTGGCCCACAGCACCTGCATAAATCCCAGGTGGAGAGAGCAGCAGGCTGGGCCCCTGGATGTTGAAACGAAAACATTTGGGCCTGTTATCCTGTCCCATTCTAGTTCACCCTGTCATCTAGGAAGCAGATTTGGTGTCCCTCAGTTTCTAATCTAAATTTGCTCTTGCCCATTAACACGAAGAGATGAGCTGTTGCTGCACTTCACTGGTGTGTAAATGAAATCATCTATTTCCCTGCCTAATAGGTTTTGGAGCTTCCACAGAGCACTCTGAAAGCCTTGCACAAAAGGCACTACAACAAGAGCGACTGTTGGTATCAGTAAATCACTTCAGCCAAGAAGGGAAAGCAGGTTTCCAGTTTAGAACAACAAACAAACCACAGCAGTGTTTACTGAGCACTTTAAAGATAACATTGGCTACATAAATACTAATATTTATTAAGGTTTCTTTGCGGAAAGGTTAATTGCATGGTGAGGAACAGTATTGCAATGTCCAAGCCCATCTACAGGTAGAATAAGCACCTTTTGGTTACTGGGAACTCAAAGCCACAAACAGCCCTCTCCTCAGAGGCTCTGAGACGAAACAAATGCTCCCAACGGGAAGGTCTCCACGCTTAAAATCCCAAGCTGGATGAGCAATGTCTTTGCTGAAGCTAGATTCAACTTCAGCCTGAATGTGGCAGAGAAAGACTTTGCTGCCAGTTCTCCACCGCTGGTCCAAGGCCTGCATGTCCTACACCCAGCATTAATGGGAGCTGCAGGCCTCTCCCTTCAACCCGTGGCAGCTCCACATTTCAAATATTGTTTATACACAAAAAGCCTGTTATAGCCCAACATTACTCAGGAAAGAGGACCTGGTGACTGTATCTACTCCGAAGGAGGTCAGCAGATACCCCGTACGGGATGTGGCATCCCAGATGTTCCTCACTGGTTGCACTGGAACCTAGGCCGTGGTAGCCAGTCATGGAGGAAGGTGGAAACAGGACTTGCAAAGTCCCGCTCTAAGTGGTGGGGAGCATTTTCCCATGGACAGGCATAGTTCAAGAACCCTTTTTACTGAGTAGCTGCCCCTTTTGGGGTGAGACTACTCAATAAAAGAAAATATTCCTGGTAGAAAGGAGAGACTGCCTGCAGATGCTAGACAGCTGCAGGTTGCTCTCCCAGCTTGTTCACTTCAGCCATCACAGGGTTACTGTTGGTTTTCCCTATCCTCTCCCCTACACTCTGACATCAAGAGAAATAGGAGATGCTCACCAACAGTGGATGCTTCCACATTTTAGGAATATCGATCATTACAGCCTGTCTGATAGTATTTATTGCTCACCCAGAATGGCTGGCTACTGGAGGCCTTCCATGATTATCCTCCTCCTTTACAACTATGAAAGGGCCTTTTATCTTAATGGTGTGGTTGTTCCCAGCTGTTGATCTGAAGAAACTTTCAGGAGAAAGACCAGTATCATGGCAGGGCTGCCTAAAGTCCTTCTGGCTTTCTCCAAAGCAAAATGTTCATCTTTGACCCACTGGGGGCTCCAGATGAACCTATCCTCTTCAGCGTTGCTTGTTAAAGAACTTAGAGTCCAGTCCCATAAAATGCTGTGCAAATTAACTTCCCAATAAGGCTCTTGAGATTTCTGCATTTTTGAGTCTTTCACAGGACTGAACCCTGGATACAATCATCCTCTGCACATCTTGCATAATTCTTTGGTTCTGTACCGGTTTGTCTGCAAGTTTCAGTTAGGCACAACATTTTTTTAATTGAAAAGTACAACAGCATAAATTACCTAAACAAAGAGATTTTTCTGGTGTTGTCTTATATTGTTGGAAAACTTTAAAGGTTTTCTTTCCAATGCTGAATAGAAATCAAATAGTAATTTTAGCTTGCAAGCAAAGGTATGCCCACTTCTGTACTCTTCACCAGAAACCTGACTTCTTATCTAACTTACTCACAAGAAGAATAACTTTATGATTTGGCAATATATATGGCTAATTTGCTCTCAGTAAACTACATTCATTTGTGCAAACTCACTAATTTATTTTTTTTAAACTCATTGAAGCAAAGTGCAACAATTCAGCTGAATCCCAGGCAGCTATTTTCTAAGCAGAGACCATTTTGTGTCTCCTTTCAATGTTCTCTGTCCTCAACATCTTAAGCAATTTTTCAGCAATTTGCCAAGGTCTGAAGACAGATGAAGTCCCTGGATTTATGTACTGACTAACCTTATACCTCGACTCAATGTAAAATGATCTGTAATGTATTTGTGGCTAACAAGACTTAGTATATGCTTATACTGCAGAAATGACTGGGTCTTGATGTAACATCTTACAGTAACATAGTTATAACATAGCTCTTTACAAAACCTTAACAATTTTCACGGTCTTCTCCACACAGACACTAGTAGCATGTCTTATTTTAAGCATCTCAACCACAACAAAGGCCAGAATTGCTGCTGAGAGTTCATTTTCCAGACCCGCATTAATTAGTGGGCCTGTTTGAGCATGGCTACATGTAACCCTCTCACCAGCTGTTGAAACACCTGTACGACTGTGCACTTCTCCCTTAACTACTGCCAACAGACTTTGGGAACAAGTGCATTGCATAGTACTTGTGGATATCAAAACATAGTGTAACATAGGGGGGCATGCAGAACATAGATTACTTGTGTAGCATCTGTACTGTAGAAACAAAATTCTTATCAAAGCCCTGGACTGGCAGGAGGACTTTTCCTGTTGGTATGTTATAGGCGGGATGTCACCTGTAGCCCTGCGTGGCACTTGGAGGTACAGAGGAATCGGCAGAGCCAGCACTGCCACCAAAGGGAGGGCAGCAGCACCATGGGGACCGGCTGACTCCAAACAGCTGCAAGACCTGGGCGTCCTTTTGGCACAAGGGTTGAGTGCTCCCAACCCACGAGTGCACCCCAAGGCACTCATTGCAGGCGTGTGGCCATGCCAGTACAGGGACGCATCTCCGAAACAGCGGGAGCACTAGGGTGCGCGGGGATGCGTACACTGCAGGCGTGGAGGAGCTAAGGTCAGTGCTGGCACCGGGGGGACCCTGGAGTATAGGTAGGGCTGCAGGGCAAACACTGCTCTCAGGCCAAACCCTACTCCTGTTGCGGTCCTTCTGAGTTCAGCGATGCCAGATGGAGGCCCAAGGGCATGGCGACTCCATGGCAAGGGCCTCACGTGTTCACAAGCATATACTGGAGAGGCTGATCAGGCAAACTGTTCCAAAAAAACCTTCTTGGGCAACCTAGGTTTACTGTCACGATAGTGCTGTCAGGGCACAACTCTGTCAAACCACATTTGCTATAGGGCAGCATTAGCTCTTCCTTTGCTTTTCCTTTGTGCGAAGGAGTCGGAGGATGCGTTCATTTTTCGTTAGTTCTGCTGGCAGCTCGTTGGCCTGGAACAAAAAGTCTTAAGGTTAGCAAAAATGAGTGATTATTTCCCAAATATGGTTTTAAATCCTCACGCTCTAAAGAAGATGGTGCCGGGTATAACCATAATGTGCTTATCTCAGCTTTGTCTCCACCGCTGTTGGAGATGTCTTAAAGTCATCTTTCCACGCCCTGTACCTAACAGGACTTAGTATATGTTTATACTGCAGAAATAATTGGGTTTTGATGTAGCATCTTACAGTAACATGATTATAACATAGCACTTTACAAAACCTCACTTAAGTCTTCAAAATAATCCTAGCACAGGATTTGTGTGGTCATCTTGTTTTGTGCTGCCTGTCCAGGGTAAATGGTATCCCTTGGGTTCCCAGTGCTGCTGCCACAAAATTGAAAGAGAACATGGCTGATGATCCTTTGGGGAGATGAGGCAGGTCTTTAAGTCCATAAAAATCCAAGGAAAAAAACTTTACTTGCTATGAAATAGTCAATGCTATTGTGTAGGATAGGTAGCAGAATAGCAGGGTTTGGTCTTCTGTATTTATTGAATACAATTTTAATAATAGAAATTATTGATAATGAAGTTACTTCTGAAAATCAATAATTCTGTTCTGCAAATGTACTGTTGTGCCAAATTGCATGCTTTTTCAAAAAAAAAATAATCTTTAGGAGAAGTTATAAACACAGACGTATGCTGTACACCCTCCTTCTGCAAATCACTACCAACAGCAGAAAAGTCTTGCACATTGTTTGGATGATTGCATCAAAACAAAACGTCTATCAGCAAAAACTACTGTATGAGTGGCATTAACCCTGCTGCCATCAAGTGGATTGATGTCGGAATTACATGCACTGATTTTATATTAAATAACCAAAGCGTTCAGAAGGCATATGCTGGATTACTCGTGTTGTAAACTTTCATTCACGTAATCATAAACCAGAAGTAAATACCAGTACAACCATTCACAGCTTAACAAACCCAGCTAGATATCAAATGCTAGAAGCAAACAGACTCTATACACAACTCAGAGGAAGACATTTTCATAGAAATGATCAAGCATTTAATGTTAAAACACTTTATAGGTTTTTTTTTCCAGAAACATTGCTGTCATAAAAGGAATAAAAGTTACTTTAATAAACTAACAAATTTATAAGAAGATATTGGAAAAGTGCATGTAATTCTATGGTATTATTTCTACTAGCAATGTGCTAAATCCTAAGAAAATTCTAACGAAGGCACCCAGATGTAGATTTCTCCTACTGTGGACATATCCTTCTTACACATCTGTGAAATGAGACATGAATATAACTTACGACTTATAAACCAAGTACTGTTTCCCTAAAATACAATCTAGCTGGCCCTTGATTAGTTACAGCTAGCAATTTAACCTGTGGTGCTGGGTGAATGAGTGCATGGTCTGGTTATTCTGAGGCTGACGTTAATTCATGGGTAGCAGCGCCTTTATAGATGCTTGTGTATAAAAACTGATGGACTGAACGATGGTGCTGCAGGTGATCAAGGTGCAGTCATGATCTCACACAGAGACATGGACAACCACCACCTATGTTGCATGCACAGGTGCTCCAAGGCTCAGAGCTGGTCCTAGCCCCGGTGGCACACCAGGACGTACCTTATTCCTCAGGCACGGGTCTGCTCCTGCTTCCAGCAGCAGCGCCACCGTCCTCACATTGCCGCTCAGAACAGCCGCATGGAGGGCAGAAGTCCCATTCTGGAAAACACCAGTGGAGATGTTTGGAATCAAAAAGGCAGTGAAACAAAGATGCTTGCAGAGAACAAACCCACAAATGAGAAATAACATGGAAGATGTTAGGTCGCGAAAGCCTGACTGATTTGGAGAGTGTGTCAGCAGGCTAGTGGACTACAAAGGAGGTGATGTTAAATGCTTTAATAAAAGTGAGAGTCAGGTTCACTTCACCACACTAATATCTTCTTTTTTTTTTTTTTTTTTTTTTAAATTGCCCTTGTCAATAGATTAGAGGTGAAAAGAACACAGCACTTGCTGCTGCCTGGTGAAATCAGCCATTCACAACTGGAACAGGAGTACGAGCAGTAATGGAAACCAGCTGTGCATTTTATCTCCTTTCTCTCATGATTAATGTTCTCCCTGGTAGGCAGCCGAATGGTGATTTTTATCGTAGCTGACCTTTCGTTCGTGGCTGCAAGCTGACAGTTCATGTAAGTGTGGAAGCTATTTCTTACTCTTAACTAACAATCAAGTTAATGCCACCTGCATTTTCAAGGTTATCAAAATTGCCAATTAGTTGCATTCACAGAAGTCATCAAAGTGTATGATTTATGGGTGTGTGAAATTTGATCAGCTATTCAAATGCAGCTTCCAGATACCTGCTATTATTTTTGAGTCATTGGTTGAATTCAGAGGAAAATAAAAACAAACAAAGAGCTACTCACAACTGATCTCTCAGGGTTCTAGCTTGCTGACTAAAGGCAATAAAAAGGGCAGGGTATAATGCTGACAACTGCACCACCACGAGCAATCTGTTTACTGTAGCAATAAAATCAGCTGACAAAAAGCAAGAGAATTCCTCCCACAGCGTGATGTCCTTCCTTATTCCAAAGATCAATTTCACAATATCTGCTGAAAAGATGTGTTTGTGTGTAGCACTAAAGGCTTAATAAAGTAATTTCATTTTTCTCTTGACTTTTTGGGCTCAATCTCTATCATCTTCCACTTGTAATGAATGTCAGGTCTTTTGTTAGACCCTTTGCCTTCTTGAGTTTCTGTCGACAAATCTATGTGTTACGCTACTAACCTTCAGCAGACCAAGGGTGGGAGAGAATTTAAGTAGCTCTTCTATCACATTGTTGTACCCTTTAATGGCAGCCTTCAGCAAAGCAGTTGTACCATCCTTTAAAAGAGAGAAGATCAGCTCAGTCACAACAAATGCTTTATCCACATTCCCCTAGGCTGGAGGGAAACACCAGCTGTCCCCCCCACAAGGTCTCCTCTGCTCATCATCTTTGAGGAGGCTCCTCCACTGATCAGGCTGCTAATTTTAGGGCATCTGAAGGATTTTTCCTCTGAAAACTTCAGGGTGAAATAAACCAGTAACACCATATATCACGTCTATCTCTCTTTTATATGAACATCTTCATTCTCTCTATCCATCCTCTTATTCCAGGAGGTCCTTCCAGGGAGCCACCCCAGACACGCAGGCAGAAACAGAGCCCAAGCTTTACAACCTGGCAAACAGAACGAACTCTGGGGACACTGGGCCACCCCTCAGGCAGCCTTGCGGCCTCAAAACACACCAGGAAGCACAAAACTGCAGACAGAGCACAGGCAGAGGTGGCACTCACATCCCGCGCGGCGTCACGCTCAGCTCCCCGCAGCAGCATGACTCGCACCACTTCGCTGTGGCCCATCTGCGACGCGATCCACAGGGGCGCCGTCCCATCCTTAAAACGAAAGAAGGATGCTGAGAAATTTGGCTTTTATATCGTGTACTCCCGATTTGACTGCCAAAATCTGCCTACTGGAATGGATGAGCTTCAGTTCCTCAATAAAATCCTGCGTCATGGACGGACAAATGCAGAGTGCCTTCCAGAAGCACGTGGGAGCTCACTGTATGAAATCAGAACATTTCTGGTTGTTGAGTAGAAGAACCCTTAGATGCTTTCTCTTGCATGGTTGACCTGAAATTGGCATTGCTGTTTGAACACTAAAAGCCCTCTGTGGCTTACCAGCTGTGCCTGAAACAAATAGGGAAGTTTAAAATGTAAAGGCCAAAGGTATGCTGTGTAGTTCGAAATCTAGGTGGCTGGATGTGGCAGAAGGATCTCTGCATGGATGAATTCTGCAGCTGGGTGTCTGTACCTATTAAATGAGAGTTGTTTATAGAAGCTAATGAACAATTGGAGGCGATTCGCAACTTTCAATGTTAAATTACATTGTCCACTCCTAGGGAATCTGATAAAAATGTCCTGACTTACAGAGATGGTGAGTATCCCACAGATTTTATCTTCAAGAACTCCACTAGAAAAAAAAAAGGGGTCAATTTTCAAGGAATACAATGTAAACCAATCAAGTCTTAGGCTCTGAGGCAATCATGATTTCAGCAGAAAACTCTGGGAAATAAAAAGCATCTTCAAAATAAACTAAACATTCTGATGAATTTCTATCCCAAATGCAAAGGTGAGTTGAAACACTGGAAGTATTATTTCTGCAATTAGGATTTAGTTTTTTATTTTTCCTTCATTTCCTCCTAAACGGCCAAATTTGCTTCTCAAGATTACAAGAGGACTCCAGCAGTTAGTTATGTGGCGCCAAATTAATTTGCACGGTCCTTTAATAAAAGGCTTTGCCTGCATGGACTTTAACTTACAAGTGAGACCACAAGTAGCAGGGTGCCTGCTTCTGCCAGCTCCTCCTGCCAGCCTCAGCAGCCTGAAGACTTGGCAGGAAAAGAATGAGACAAAACCCCTGAAAGTGCCTTAATGAGAAGTTTCAGAAGGAAACAGCTTTTTACTTTAAATAAAATATTTCCACCTTGATCAAAGAAGTAATCTCTCTCTTCCAAGTGAAGATTCATATGACTTGCTAAAGCTATTCAAAAACATTGTTGAACCATTCTCTGCTTTCTGCGGGCTAGTGATTTAATCCACTGGAAGAAAAAATAAAGTTATTTCTCCCTTTGATATAGTATTCTGGTTTTCACCTTTTCTGGTTCTGAGGAAAAGCAAATGCACACCCTGAGATCTTTAGTTTTTAAAATGGCAAAAAACAGGATCTTTGCTGACTCTGGTATCAGTTCTCTATAAATGATCTCATGGATGCTAGTGGCTGACCTCATTCTAGTACATACCCTGTTAATACCACGGGTTTTCTTTATGATTCAAAAATAACAAAGGCTCTCTTGTACGGAGGGCATGTGATGTTAGCGTGATAGCAAAAACTGTCTGTCTCCAATATACAGTGTTTTCCTTATCAGTAAATGGACACTTGATATTTTTTCCAATCTTCCCCCACCAGAGGGCTCTAGAAAATAGCAAGAGGGACAATGAAAAAGCCTATAAAACTTGGAAAAGAGCATGCCACCTACAAGATTCACGATTTAATGGGCATGAGGAACTAATGCTGTGCAAATCCACATTTCTGTTTACGTAAAAAATGCAAGTACAAGAACAGCATGGGGAACATAGCAGCTTTCTTTCACTCACAGTGCTGTTTATGACTCTTGTTTTCAGTCATGAAGTGAAAGAAGCAGAAGGCAATACGTGTGTTGGGTAACATCAGTGTTACCATTAACTGTCCTTAACAGTATTGCTGCTAGATATCATTGTTAGCATCTCAGTTATGGAGTAGAGACAAAAATACATAGTGAGAAAGAGTGAGCACCTTGGAGAATTTAGCTTAAAAAAAAGAAAGAAAGTTTAAGAAGTTGGTGGTGGGCTCACAGTGCCAGCTTCTATCTTTTATGCAAACAGCATCTAACGGGCAGGTTTATGTAAAAGCATATAATATTTACATGGTGTAGATGAGATTTCCGTTCATTTTGATGTTGGTGTATGGTGCAAAAGAGATATTATGTTGTACTGAGATGCCATGCAAAAATTCCCGTATAAACAGATATTAAGACTCAGAGATGAGTCAGGAAGAAAATGAGAGCAGGGAAAGAAGCAGTTCAAAAAGTATTTTCCATTTCTCGTTCCTCCGACCACCCAGCAGACTGGAGACCGTTACGCTTGTAGAACAAACAATGTTAAATGCTCCATATGTTTAAAGCTGTGTTTATTATTTCCTTATGTGCCTGTAAATTCGTAATAGATACAAACTATATCTCATAATGTCCAGCAGTCCCAAACATACCCTGGCAGAAATTTCTAATGCTCTTTCTCTTACTCATTAACTTAAGAGTTTGCTTTGCAGCTTTGAAACTCAGTGCTTGCTGGAGACTTAGAGTCTTAGAAAGGGCCAGATTACTGTAGGAGGTGAAATTACCCTTGTGTTCCCCCTGAGGATTTTCAGGGACAGAGATACCCTACTCACAGGCTGCTCAGTGCCATCTCCTCCACCATTCTGCCTATCAGTCCATTTGCACCATTATACCAGTTGAATTCTTGCTAAAAACAAGTAAGTCAAGCTTGCTGGACTGTAGTCTGCACTCTGTTTACTAGCTTGCATATATGTGTGATTGCATATCACAGGAAAAGGAAAAACAAAACAAACAAAACAAAAACACATTAATTTTAATAACATTTTCAATCTCCTTAGCCAGTCAAACTACAGCCTGCACAGAGTATAAAATTCATTGGCAAATAACCTTGCTTTGTTTTTGAGTCAGAGAAGCAAAGAAACATTGCCTACACTGGGCTGCAGACATTGCTCCGAGCTCTGTCTAGACGAAAAGATGACAAAAGGATTCCAGCCCAGCTCCTTGGGGGCCCAGCATCAGAAAGCAGAAAAGAAGGTTACAAATCAAGGGGAATGATGTTGCCAGGGAAGAAAGCTTCCCTCTTCAGCCTTGTGAGAGCTGAGCTGAATGGCCTGCACACAGGCATCTCCAAGGTGTTGGAGAACCCCATGGGACTGGGAGATGGGGCACAAGACAGAAGGGGAACTGGTACACACTGGAGCAGCAGAAAGACACATACAGGGAAGATGCATGTGGTCAAACAGGTGAATTACACCCCTAAATTCACCAGACAGAGAGGAAAGCATGGGCACTTAGGAAGGAGAAGCATGAACCTTGCGCTCTGCAGCTACAGGCAGTCCTGCATTCAATGTTATGTTGCTTGGAAAAGTTTCCTACAGCAGTAAGAGCAACATAGCTTGTAGGAGACATCTGGCTTCAAAAGCGCACCATCTAGGGCTGCATTCCTGGTAACCAACATGCCACCTTTGAACAAAGTGCAAATTTGTTAGTAAGAGAGAGACTGAAGTCCATCCAACCATTTCTTTACTAATTAAACAGTAAAAATGCTCCGTTTGTTGAGGAAATGCTTTGGATTACAGTGGACCTGAATACAAATGCCACAGACCTATCCAGGCATAATCTTAGCAGGGATCCGAGGTACCCTGAGGCAAACTAAACCCATACTGCTGGAGATGAGACAGAGCCAGGAGGGGCATTCGCATGGAGTTGAGTCTTTGCCTCGACTGAGATTTGAACATGCATCACGAAACACGTTGTGTTGCATGAATGTGAAACTGGTTCAGCTAAATCAAAGGCTCCCCAGCTTTATTTTGACCCACTCAAAAAGGTGTTAATGCAAACATTTATTTATCCTTCTTATCTAGCAGGAAAATGACTTTAGTTTTGGGAACATAAAATATTAGTGCAGTTTATTTACACTAGAGGAGCAGCAAGGAGACACAAACCTACAGAGGCAGCAGAAGCCATATAGATTAATCTCTGCTGCCAAGCTATGATTTTTCAGGTTCTTTGGGGCAGATGAAAAGAAGTCCTAAAAATACCTGGCCAAACTTGTCACATGCCACGCTGTCCCCTGTTATTAGAGTCCTCACATTTATTTGCTCCTGCCTCCTGATTTTTTACTTGCTACAGTCAGTGATCACAGACACCTGGCAGACATACGTGACTGATTGCAAGCACAAGACCTTATCCCATCAATTTACAATGTGCAGTCAAGGCCCAGGACAGCTACCTTGCCTGCAGGGTTTCAGCAGACCACAGGGGAGGCTCTCCCAGAGCAGGCAAAGATTCCTGGGAATGTCTGTCTCTAACCAGACACCTCGAAGTGCCAGGAGCAAAGTTAGCTGGGCAACTCCCACACCTGGCTATTCAAAGAAGCATCTAAAGGTGCTGTATAAGCACTGATTTTAGAATCAAGCCACAGGTAAACAATTAAAGATCCATATTTTTGGAAACTAAGAGAGTTTTTATATGTCTCTGTAAACCAGGTATGCTTATGTATCCCTTAGTTTAAGACCTAACCTATATGCATCCATACCTAACAACAGCACACAGTAATGCAAGGTGGAGCTAGCCCTTCGCCTTCTATAGCAGAGATCTCTGAACCAGCCCCACACCTAATTCATTCGTAACATTTAATGATCAAACAGCAGCCCCACTGCCTACAGAGGAGCTAATTTCGTGCTCACAGTTGCCACTGGTCTCGTGTGTTTACAGGATCAGACCCACCAGAGGGAGCAACTGGAACCATAGATAGCAAAGCTCTGCACACGTACCGAGTTCTTACAGAGGTGAAGGTTAATACTCACGCCTGAATTTCAGAGTACACAGGGAGGATACAAAATAAAACTGAAAGTGAAAGGCTTTTTCAAAGATTAGCTTCAATACTGAACCCACATTTCTGGTGATTTCAGTACACTGAATTTCTCTCACTACTATTCCCAGATTGTCCAAAGCTTTTCCAAGGATTTTCAAAGGAACGCAAGGACACGATGGGCTATGCGTGCTCACAAGTAGCTTGGTGCAGCAGAAACAGCTCAGTAGTTGCAAGAGGTAGTGCAAGGCCCTCATATCAACATTAAATACAGCTTGAGGGTTTTATTTTGATTTAGTCTGGTCCCGTGGCCCAAACGTGCCCAACCTGCACATGGTTCAAAACATTCCCAAGGATCAGCCAGAGGTCTGATCTCCTTTAGGATGTGAAGCACAATTGGTGCACGCCTAAAATGGAGCTTCCAGTTTCACTTCTTACGGAAATTACCTAGGTTGTGTGCAAGCAGAAACAACTGGGGCACTTCCTTCAGATCCACACTATGACTCTGAACTAGCACACAAACGCAGACATGGCCACAATTTACCTTTTAGTGAAGCACCTCCATGGGAACCTGATGTCCAGAGAAAATTCCAGTGTTAACTTTCAATAACTATGAGATTTAGCAATTAGATCCCAGCTCTGCCCTGAAGTGTTGAGCTTACCTGTCGTGGCTGGTTAACCTTTGCTCCTGAAGAAAGGAGCAATCGGATGACATCCAGGTAGCCTCCTTGCGCTGCCAAGAAAATTGCAGAAGCTCCATCCTAAGAACAAATATATCCAGCTTATACTGTTTTGAAATTATACTGTACTTTTCACACAAAAACAAAGCAAACTGAATCATCTTCTCCTTCCTAAGCCATTATGCAGTGTAACAGCATATACATACGGCTGAGCTCAAGGAGTAATGACCGAAATCACAAACTATGGCAATGTTTTCATTCAGCACACAGAAGTACTGGCTTCCCTCAAGTATCAAACAGCATTAAGTCCTGGGTCTGGCATGCTAAGAGTCTAGATCACCAAAGCATTGGTCTACATAACTGGAAATCCATTCCTATTTAGGCAAATACATCTATTCAGGTTTGTTTAGCTCATGCAGAGATGTTCTGACACAGAGATGCACATGGTGAAAACGTGTTCAAATACTTTGCAGAACTGGAGACTGGCATTGAAGCCTGCCCTTTAGACTGAAGGAGTGAGTACTGTGCCATACTGCTACGCCACGCCAGCAACTAGACCACTGATCTGGCCAATAATGCAGAAGAGATTGGCTCTGTTATAAAAGTGAGTAAATGTAGCACATGCAGGACAGAGTACCTCACAGCCCTATCAGAAGCCATCATTTCTCTAAGAAAAGTTTGTGAAGAAAATGAACTAATCTGGGATTTATTTTTTTTCAGCATGACTTTCACGTGGAGATGTTCTTGACATTAGAAAATTCATAACACTTGGAGTCACATAAGCTTTCTCCATAGGAAGAAAAATAAAAACTCGTATCTCATTGAGTTTGTTTTTTTCAGTGAAAAATTTTCAAACCACATTAAAAGCCATCCAACCAACTAGAAGTGGAAAGACATACTGCTTAGGCCCTCCTTCTGCAAAACTCAGCGCAGGCCTGAAACCTGCGCTGAATAGCGTGCCCAGGGACTGAATCTAAAATGTTTGACCTTGGTTGCATGGCAAATGTCCCTCCTGGTAAAGAAGAGAGGTATCTGCTGGCACTGCAGGTGAATATCCATCCCCAGGCCCTCTGAGGGTCTGTTTCCTCTGGCTGCTATGCAAGTGCATGAAATAGGGTGATGGCATCGGGCGTTTTGCAGCTTCCTCCAGAGACACATACAGTAGGAACACTTCCATTTAGAAAGCAGACAAGGTTGCGTAACATTAAAGAGCTCTTTAATACAGCACCAATCAAGATGGAGAGCCTGGCTTGCCTGTCATACAACCATTATTATTTTAAAGCAATTATTTAGGATTTGTACTTGATTTGGTGCTATAACAAGAAAGTTGTTTAGAGGCTATAAAATATTTCTGCAACTAGCACTGTTTAGTTGACGTATTTTCTTGTGTTCTCCTCTACCCCTCACGTGATTCAGCTTAAAATTAAAACATCTATCTTGATGGTCTGGGGAGGACTGCCCAAATGCATGCATGAACTCCCTCTCCTTTGGCTGCCTGCAAGTGAAACTGCCAGCCGGATACCATTGTGTAAAAGCCACTTGGCAGTGTCCCAAAAAAAAAAAAAAAAAAAGAGTTAGGCTAACGCTTGTTTTTAAGATGTTGTGTTCTTACTTTATGAAGCAGCTTTTTCTGACTGGTTTTGCCTCATGACTTTGAGCAATAAAAATACAACTCTAAATCTGAATGTAAATACTGCTCGTTTCAAGGAGAGACAACAAGGAAGCTGTTTTACTGCCTTTATTTCTAGGTAAGTGTCTCCAGGTGCAAAAGCGCTGCTATTTTTAAACCAGGTGGAAAACCCTGGGATTAGCAAACAGAGGATGACAAACATTATGAATGTTATGAATTATTCTAACCCTTAAATAAGCAAGGACAGCAGTGACCATGGAGCACCCTTCTGCACAAATGTGGGGTGGGAGCAGCGCAGACGTGGGATCTCTCTGTGTGACCAGTGCATGAAGACTGGTGGGAGCTGAGAGTGCTCAGTGCTGACCAACAGCATCCTGCAAACCTCATCAAAAAGGATGAAAAAAACCAAACATATATCCATGGGGAACAAATTCCTCTTTGTCAGACTTGTCTTGTGCCCTCGGGTAGGAAAGAGTGGTGGGAAGTGGAGAGAAAGCCTGCCAATCATTTTTGTTGAATGCTGAGAAGCCCAGCCTATTTGTGTCTCTGCTGAAGTAAATTAAATCCAGTACTTCATTGGCTCAGTCCAGCTTTCTGAAAAGTCAACTAAACAATGTCAGTTTGGTCATTTTAACCACTCTTTGCCCAAAGAACTGACAAACTAGAGACACACAAATACCAAATAGCCTCATTTTAACTGATATTAAATATATATATATTAAAGATAACATAACTTCTACTACATTTCTTGGCAGAAAACTGATAAACTGATTCTTGAATGCCTCAGTGGCTTTAAAGTTATTCAGTTCTCTGCCTGCAATGCAAATCTGATGTGGTAAAACATGACATGAGCTTTTGTTCAATGGTAAGGGACAGCACAATGATGGTGCTGGTTTGGCACAAAGCCTTCTTACAGACAAGGAACCAAAACATAGCTAACCCATCTTTTCTGGCTTTGTACCACTTCTCCCAAAACTGTGAAAAGCAGACAGTTAACAAAAATCACAGTGTAGAGAAGCAGAGTACTACAAAACCACAACATTTGGCAAATGCTTCTCTGTGCTGGAGCCAGAGTACCCACTGCTGTCCAACAAACAGCACATTTGTTCCACCACCAGTGTTGTCAATATTACCCGTGTCGAATAACTCACGTAAAGCTGATCGTGAATGTTGGCACCGTGCTTCAACAGAGTTTCCACTACCTTTGCGTGCCCGTACTGACAAGCAGCTAGAAGAGCAGTACCTCCATCCTGTGAAAAAGCAAAGAAAGGGTACAGTAGTGTGGGAGTGAAGATGCTAGACTGAATGGCACCATAAAACATAAGCAAATCTTAAGGCTTTTCAGAATTTGGCTCACAACAATTCTGGAGTGACTAGCTACTGAATCCTTCATAATTTTAGTGCCAAGCCATGGCCCTTAAATCTTTGGCTCCATCACTATAAACATTTTTCTCCTGAGGCTTTTTTCGTGAGTGACGGGAACAAAGAAAATTCTGCTTTTAGTTCCTCATCTTCTACCTTCCCACTAGAGACTTTATTTGCTTCACAGCACCAAGCTGTTCTGCATCTCTTCTTTTACTTTTACTGACAAATCCTCTACCCCTGACAAACTCCTCTACTTGTAGAAGGACAGCACAAACTTCCCCTGCTTTAAAGCCTACCGATCATCTGCTCTTCTTTGACCAGAACCTCACGTTCTGTCATGTTCTGCCTTTCACCTTTTAGTTTTGGCCTTAAGAAGTGTAGGGAAGATGCATCTACAAGCATTCTAGCTAAATGTGGAAGCATGCTTCAGACCAAACCCATGACCCAGTGAAAGCCCCATTAACTCTGCTGAAGAAGTGATCCCTGGCAGTTATAGTTACTGTGCATCGCCACTAAAGGGAGACCTAGGCACATGCATCATGTCTGGCTTGTAGAGCTGCTCCCATAGGAGCTATCTGAGATGGGAAATACCTCAGGATCGCTGGCTGACAACTCCAAGCCAGCGGAAACAATGGAAATAGCAAATGCGGGACTTGCCACATCATGTTCATTGCACTGTACCCCACTTAAAAACTGACATAATTTCTGACACTGGTATGGAGAGGAGGTTCTCATCTTCTGCCCTGGATGGCACCATGCCATGATGCAAGGATGACGCACGCCCCACGTCATGGATCCCTGAGGGTTTCTGCCTCCTTCCCCACCTTCTCCCTTCCTCAAGCTCCTCCTCCACAAAGCAAGCTATCTGAAGTTTTCATATAAATGATTTCTAGATGCTGTGGGCAAAAGGTAGTATTTTCCCTTAGTCTTGTTTTCTGAAACAGCTCAAAAGTTTTGTCTGAATTTTTTCCACATGGATAGATAGCCAGCAAGACAAGTTACAGCCCAAATGGATGAATTAATCTGTTATAATGGGAAGTGACAATCAAACTTTTTAATCTGTAGTGCTATTTCATGCCTATAACAATCCCACGAAAACTCAAGCCCTGACATGGCTGAAGTAATCCACAGGGACTGCCTGTAACTGCGCTCAAAAACTATTCACCCTTCTGCCCTGCCACGTTAAAATGCAAGAAAGGTTTGAGTGTCAGCAAACTCACCAATGTGAAACTGTTAGGTGAGCATCTAAGAATTGTTAATTCTGGACTATGTAAGTAAACACGGTGTGCAACCTGGTCAGTGGAGTTAAGTTACTCTGTAGTAATGAGTCACTAGACTTTCCTGTAAAAAAAAAAAATCCTAATTTAATTGAAACTGCTGGAACAGAACACAAAAGCAACCACAATGGTTTCTGGATTAAAATAAACAAACCAACAAAACACTTCTACACACTTAAAAAACAATGGGAAAAGCTAATAGCTTCATGAAACCTATTTCCTGTCTCCCATCAGCTGAAAGCCAGTTTTACTTGAGCGCTGAGTTAACAGATCGAAGGCCTACAAACAAATAAAAAGAGAGACATTTTTAAAGACTTTCCCTGAAGGAAATGGGGAGAGAAAGGTCAATGAGTTAAGAAAAGAAACTGTGCTATCAAGACTGGAAGTCCTCCTCAGAGAAGCAGGGAAGGATGAGCTATAGGAAGCTTTAAAATACTGAGGTTCCCCATCTGGAAGGTAAGTGGTCATGTTCAGCTGCATATGAGAACAGTTTGTTTATTGCTTTTTGGCTTTTCATTTTCTACAATCCTTGTATTCCCAAAAGACTCTGTTATTTTAAGAAGGGTGTTTGGTTATTAACATAATTTCTGGAGGCAACAAAATGAGAGGCCCCAAATCAAAGACAGGCCTGCATGGTTAACCACAGTCAAGTGCTTGGAGCAGGACTGTGCTATTCCACCGTGGAGATGTCACAGCCTGAGGCTTAAGAAGGAGGACACTTTAAGCAGGATATGTCTAAGTGTCTCAATGTGGGGATCCTGACCTAGTAGTTGGTTGAATTTAGAGAACATTTTTAGATAGATACATTTTGGGAAGGAATAACACATTTCCAAAACATAACATTTAGATCTTTCAGACTAGAAGGGATGACCAAGGGATCTAGACCACCCTGATTTAGTTCCATTTGCCCACATCAAATCAAATATTTCCAGGGCCAGCAAAAATCAAATAACAACTCCTTGGCCCAAGGATTTGGTCCTTGATCAGGAAGGCATGTGGGCTCGAAGACCTGCTCTACTGTCTGTCTCCTATAAAGTCAAACACATTCCACAGAAGAGACTGAGACTCGTGTGCATGCTCTGAATGGGGGTACCGCTATGATAAACAGGGATTGGTCTTGCTTTAGGATAAAGAACTTGGGGACAGGAATCCTTTCCATGGAAAACATCTTATAGTAAGACAACACTCAGTTAAATCAAGGAATTGGCACTGTTGGACAAAACACTGCAAAGATCCACATTTTTTTAGGAGGAGAAAAAAAATCAGTCCCCCAACTCCTCTCAAACTTACATCTTGCTTTCACTTTCTTCCCTTTTTGCCAGCACGAGAGCCTTTTCTCCAGCAAGCTCTAGCTGAAGATCGCACTGTTTTACAGACTATAAGGTAGACAGAAGGATGAAAACAAGAAATAAATAAATGACAGTCTTCAGACATGTGATTCCTTTTTTTTTTTTTGGCTTCATCTGAAAATGCTGAAGCAGCACCTTCGGTACTGGCAAACCTCTCGGAAACTCTGAGCCAGGCAGGGACATGTGAGGAACCACGGAGACACTTGTAGGGCAATAACCGCTCTGTAGCGGGAGGGAAACGGGCAATGGAGCTGAGAGAAGGCACTCAGGCTTGGGTTTATTTCCTGCTCATATCCTGTTTTCATGACACAGCTTAGCTTCCACTAATCCTTTACTGCAAACCCTTCCAGCACACTGGAAACTCAGACAGGAGCCAGTCCTCTCAGCTACCTCTGTAAAAGCTACCTTCCTTTGAAACCCTTTTTTCTTATCCATATATTCTTTCCTCCCTGTCAGCAGCATGTACAGTAGCTGCCAATCTCCCACGTAAGCACTGGGAACATCAGCACCCGATGAGACCACACTCTCTGGTGTACACCTCTCTATTTGCCTGTCCCTTCCTTCACCTCTGTCATCACTGCCTGCAAGCACCTTAGAATTACATGTTTTTCTTACTTTCTCTGAAATATGTTACAAGGGAGGGGAATTGACCTTCTGCAATTACTACCCACTGAAAAATAGCCTCCAACATACCGTTCAACCTGCAGTATTGCTCAGAAAGCACGCCTTCATGGAAATCCTTACAAGAACCCAGATGCAAGCTTATAACGTGTCTCAGGTAAAGAAAAGAAACCATTTTATTTTCTGATACATACTTCTAGGGATGTTTGCTTAGCCTGTCATAGTGAATATCAACTCAGACGATACAAGGCATACCAAGAATTGTTTTATTAAGATCATTCTCCAGCACTCTTGCATATGAGTGACAAATGCAGTAATTAAAATTTACAGAGGAGTAAATTACAAAGAAGACACTGGACTTTGCATTGCCTTGCTTAAAGGTGTCTGTTTCCTAGGTTTCATTAAAACTGTTTTCATATTTAAATTAAACATCTTCATGTATAATAGAAAGTTCATTGTAAATCGATGAGTTTTGCAATGCCCTTTAAAAACAGACAGGATCAGCCTCATCTTTTCCTGTGCTGCTCCCAGCTGAGTGCCTTAATCAGAAAATGCCTTATCTCTGACCTGAAAAGGCATATTTTGTCAGCTACTTTGTTCCTGGGGTTTGGGGGAAGGGATGGAAAAGCCTGTTATCTTAGCTGCCCTTTAACAGAAAGAAGAGTTGATTTAATAATTTCAAGCTATGGAAATCACATTATTAAATCAGAAAATTGAACCAGTACCAAAACAAATCAGAAGGCCAATGGGAGATACATCCAGTAAAGCCCAAGCCTGTATTTGTCCAAAGGTGGAAGATATCAGGAGGGGCTGAATGCAGAGAGATTTTCTTTTCATTTGTATCTTTACACCTTTTTATCTGCCCTAGTGACTCCTTAATTTATTTTGCATAATTCAAAAATGATCAGATATTGTCATGAAGGATGAGACAATTTCAAGTCTGCTTTTCACCTTCTGGGCCTAGTGTTGACCTCTTCACAAACACCTAGACCACAGGCTGCTCAGAGGCTTGGTGAAAATGTAATTGTCCCTCCAGAAAGAACAAGGTACTCAGTCTCTGTCTTCCCTCCTTACCAACGGTTTCCTGCATTCACTGCCCTCTGAAAAAGCACTGCCCAATTTCATGTTCAGCCCAAGAGAGTAGTCCAGGCTCTTATTATGGCTGGGACACATTTGCTCCTTCCGCATGCTTTTGTGGCCTGTCTATAGGTCAGATGACTCAAAAAATGGTGTAATTTCACACACCCAATTGTATACAGATGAATGTGAGAGAATATTTTTCTGAAGCTTGCTACCCTCATCCTAAAATAAAAGACTCATAGGCAACTCTATTTTAACGTGCAGCTTCTCACAATAACTCTGTTTCACATGAGATTATCCAGAATCCAGCCTAACATCCAGCTGTTGTATTTAACATTGCAACCTCCCTATGGTGCTAAGTTCCACAGCTGCACTCCATGTTGAGGTTAAACAGCCACATTTTCATTCATGTTTTTAAATTTACTGATGGAGGCTTCTGCTGTGGTCAGAGCATTGCTTACCACAAGCATAGCTCCCCAAGGTACCAGAATCGATACACATTCTACTGTACGGGCACACATGAACTCTGTGACCACAGAAACATGGGATTTTTAATCGGTAATAACTGCTACAGTCCCTAGAGTGTAAAGAGTTGAGTCCCAGTGATGTTCCATCAATTCCTGTAGTATTTAAAGCCTGTGTTTTCAGGGATTTTGAACAGCATTTATGGGATGAGGGACCTATTCAAATCACTGACTACAACATCTTGAAAAATTGGTTACTGTTGGATAAAGAACTATTTTTCTTCTTCAAACTGAAGCCATTATATTCTTCTGTCTCCTAAGGTGGTATGCAGACACTCCCCAACATGGATCAAATTCCAGCCTGTGCAAGTGGAGTACGTATATGCATAAAATGGGATTGTACCTGAGGTGTACAAAGAGACCCTTTGTTCTTGTATTGGAGAATGGCTTAAGAGGAAAGTCTGATTTCACTATCAATGGACTGATCTTTGGCCAAATCAGGCCATTAAGTCCAGGTAGTAAAGCTAGTGCCAAGTTAATGTTTTCATCATATGTTGTAGTACTCATATTATTCAGAAAACATTGAAGTGAGGAAATCATTTTGCCATATTCCTGCTGCCACCTCATGTTTCATGTGAAGAGGAAACAACAGTCCTGACTGGCAGAATGTATTAGCATATAAAGACAGACAAAGCATCATACCTTATTCTTAAACTCAGTGGAGGCACCAAATTCAAAGAGAAACTTCACCACGTCGTTGTGGCCTTGCTGTGCAGCAAAGAACAGAGCAGTTGCACCTGACTGTAGGGGAAAAAATGATTAAATAAAACCCAAACACATAACATGCTTGATCAAAGTATATATTTCATTTCAAATTCAAGCTTACTAAGCACAATCATTTCAATATCAACTGAAAATACATGATGATTTTGAGGGCTATAGAGGACAAAAGGTGTCTTAGCTAAGAGGTCAGTTTCCTTCTCATCGCTCTGAGAAATGTGGCCTGCATCAAACATTGGAATAGAAATCAAGCTTCACTAGTGGCTTCTGCACAATTTCTAATATAGACCTCTTAGGATTCATTTACTTCTCTTCAGTCTTCAGACAGGGAAAGAAAGCCTAGAGAGAGAACAGAGCAGTCTTACTCAAGAGAGGAACGTCCAATTTGTAGGAATCCCCTCTACCACCTGCTTCTACAACCTAAGACAAACAGGAGCATAGGATGGATTTGGATAAGGGTGTGGAAAGACCACAGAGGGATTATTCAGCACAGCAGAGCTCCACTTTGCTTGACTCTCCACTGGCCAAATGTGACTGCTGTTGGTATGTCACCCTTGTGTTTTACATGAGTAGCTTCCCATTCATCCAAGCAGCCTTCAAGCAACTCTTGCCAGTCATGCAGCTCCTATTTTCTATTAACCTCACTGAAGAAATGAAAGCCCTTATTTTATATCAGTAGTATAACATATAACTGTATTAGCTGTATAAAGCTTGCAACAGCACATGGCCTTTCAAGACCACTTTAGAGCCCCCTCTCACAGACAAACCTCTGGGTGTTCCCTTTCCCTGAGGTTCCCAGCAATTTCAAGGTTCAAGAGCACTAGTTTGAGTAGATAGATTTACTTTCAGATTAGTATCCTTTGTTGCTAGGGCTTAAATTTCTTTAATTTTGCTCCCTCTCTGCAGCAGAGTGATTTTGGAGTGTTCCTGTGTTTCTCTTTTTATTGTCTTGCTGAACCAATGTGTCCAGAGTGAAACTCAAGAAAAGGTCCATAAAACTCTTCTCAGCTTTTCCTTTTGTTGCTGCTTTTCAAGCAATGTTTGTCTAAGGGAAGCTACATGTTCAAATACATGCTTTGTTGGGACAGAACCCCTCTGAAAGATACTGACATTCATGGTTAATGCAAGTTTAGGCCAGTTAGTGCAAAGACACTTATATCATCAGGCATGACATTCACTGACTCAGTGACTTGAAGACATCAGCATGAGATTTGTGCTCTAGTTCCAGGTAACCAAGGAAAATAAGAAACATTTGCTTGGGTTATTAAAGTGATGAAAATACTGCTGTCCTGCTCTTCCTGCCATCATCCCATGTCACTACATGTCCTCATCAAACTGCTGTTCTTTTGGGGCCAGTCCCACTCCGTTGCAGAGCAATTATAACCAGCACACAGACCAGAATGGCTTTAGATACTCCTTACCACTACTTGAGCAGAGTATGAGGGGATGGCACTTTTACAGAGCTAGGTGCTGACATTTTCCTTCCTGCAATCAAGCAAGTCATGGTGTGAGAGACACCTTGAATGCAAAGTACACTTGCAGGAAAGAGTGATTAAGTTGTGTGATTTTTTGAGATGAGTTGTCTTGGACTGAAAGGCAGAAACTCTTGGGTATACTGAGTCAAAACAACATCCACTCTATGTTAATGACCAAATTCTGCAAGTCAAAAGTAAAGGACTTCTCCTTATCACATCACATTTATCCCATCCAGAAAGCTGTAGATTACCATGCCAATAAATAAAATGGCAGATGCTTAAGTGGAGTAACCTGAGGGTTACACCTCAGATATAAGCACCCCACACCAACCCCTGTGTGCTGGAAATGTTTGATGAATTATTTATAAAGGTACCTCTGGCATCTGATTTTGTATTACAAGTTTCAGACATCTGACTCCTTGATGTCCCTAGGAGAACCCTGTTTGTACACGCACAGCAAAGCACAAATAAGCAGTTGGCAAAACGCAACAGGCAACACTCTTATTATTTCCAATAAACCAACAGTCACTTCATCAATCCCTGTCTGAATGCAGAACTTCTCCTACCTCTCTCTGCAGGTTGATATCTGCTCCTTGCAACACCAATTCCCGTACGCAGTCTATGTGGCCATGGTAAGATGCGACCATCAGAGCTGTTGTGCCAAGCTGGGAATAAAGAGAAACAGATCAGTTCCTTCAACAGACACCTTCAGCATTGAATCAGGCTGTCTGCAAAAGACAACACCTCTTCTGAAAAGATGAAGAGTGTTTATGCTTGTTGACCACAGAACGTTTGCTCTTTTTCTTTTCCTTTTCCTGAATGGGGGACCAATCTTCCCCTGAACAGATTCTAAGACAATTTAAAACTTGCTATCATGAATACTTTGAAGATGAGTGATTAGCAGGTATTAAAGCAAATACATTACAGACTTGCCTGCAAAGCTAAGCCTGACCATTCAACAACTATGTATGCAGTCATTTTGCATTGCTGTCCTGAAAAAAGTGTAACAAAAACATCAACAATATTTTTGGTTTACGCATAGCTTTTTATCAGAGAATCTCAAAGATATCGGCGTCCTTTCCAGAAGAATAACCTTGGACACAGGAGGAAAGTGACTTATCTGAGTCACTTCATTTTGAGTCATAGCCAGGAGTAAGGTCCCAGTGTTCTGAATACTAATTCCCTAGCTGAATGACTAGAACAAGCTCTGTCTGTGACTCCTCACATTGTATCAGGGAGCTTTCCATAACAAAACTACTTGTTCAGGTTCCCTCAGTACCCCAGTAGGGCCACTGGTCCGCTGAACCAAGACTCAGGTTATATGTGTGGCAACATGCAAAGCCCACATACATGAGGACAAAATTAATCTTTCTAAAACATTCACACATACCAATTCAGTCTAAAGAAGAAGTGTGTGAATTTGCAAAAAACGGAGCATGCAGCCTTAATTATATGAAAATATTTTAGTCTAGAAAATGTGTATACCTAACAGAATTAATATCAGGATATTTTAAAGCGCATTATAAAAATTCTTGATCAAGATTTGTCTTATTTTGAGAAAAAACGAGCAGTAGTGGACCTTCTTTCTTTTCATCTGTCTCTATCCTTTTTACTTCATGCCCCCATCTATGCATCTTTTCCTCTCTGTCTGAATGACAGATCAACTCCAGACTTACTGCATGGCGAGTATTTGCCTACAGGTCAAAGATGAAATGAAGATGAAAAAATAGGGTAAAGACAATGGGTTTAGGAAATCTCTTGCACTTTGAAGGCATTCATATTGAGAGAAGCACATTAATTGCTAAAAGTGGCATTAATCCCATACGACACAGGCACAACTGCCTGTAAGTCAGTCCCAACACCAACCAAAGGAAATCTGGGGACTTCTCAACCTCAGTTTTCCCTGGCTCTTTGCAGTAGCTTTGTACAATCCAGTAAGGGTACATATGTTACAGGCAGAATAGCAAGACATACACCTCATATGTGTTTTCAACCTATTCTTATCCTCAAAACTAGTTTGAGACTACAACTACAGTAAAAATAAAAATAAAAAGTCACTTGGAATCTGTTGGTCACTTATTTGGGCTCCTTTTTGCCTGGAAATCTTGCTGTGCCTTCATGTTGGTGCCAGTGCAGGAGACACTGGGGTGGGGAGAGCAGGAATTTAGGAGGCCAGCACCACAGGTTGCATGTAGCACACCGCAGTGCCCCTCACAGCAGGAATGGCTGCACATCAAATACAAACTTTTACATTGCCTAAGCAGAAACTGTGGTCCAGGGTTATTTTTAAAAAAACTAATTATGAGGAGCCATGTTAGCTGACAGAATCATTGCTACTGGGCTTGGCTGAGTTGATTCTTCACTGTGATCTACTACCACAATGACATTTCCTTGCAGAGAGAAGCCCGAGGTGCTAGGATCTGTGTTTTTAATGTCAGCGCTACAAATAACTATGTAAGACACATTTTTGAGTGCTGGCAAATTCCTAACCCCTTGCCACTGATATAAATCATCATGCTATTTTATCTTGAGTTTCAAACTTGCTTCCTGACAAGGGAAGGTTTTAAATCATGTTCAGGTGTCATGAGACTCTCAAACGTCTCCAGTCAGGTCCCTGCTGCACCCTCTGCAGTGGGCTTCGGAAAGCGATGTAAAATCAGCACTAAGGGAATACGTGCATCGTGTGCATACACTGTCTTTGCAGTCCACATCTACTCGCCCGCTGTTCAGCAGCAGCTGGAGGAGAGCCAGGTTTCCTTTTCTTGCAGCCCAAAACGCAGCATTGGCGAGCGGTGTTTCTTTCTGGTGAAAAAAAAAACAAAAAACAAAAACAACAACAACAAAAAAAAAAACTTTGGAAGATGTATTGGACAAATATACATGTGCAAATTCTGCAATCAAGCCAGACATTGTTCACTTCAGGGAAGCTAATCTGATTTATTTGCGCAATTACAGGGATCAGTCTCCCTGTGCTACCTCATGCTGTTTCAGGTCTTCCCCGTGTCCATAGCAGCATGACTTTTAGCTTGCTTTATATTAAGAGCTGACGATGCTGTTCCAGATCCCCAGGGAAACATCACAAAAAACAATGTTCTATGTGGTACCTGCATGGTTGGCTCCTGTGGTGGGGCTGAGCCCAGTTACAGAGGCTGATTCATCCTGCTGCCATGTCCTGCTGCAGGACATCCTCCTGCATTTCAGGCTAGCTCTCTGCCACTTCTGTCTTTTCCATACAAAGCCCTGATACATGAAAAGCATTGTTCACAAATCTCCAATATTATTTGGTTTGTCCCCTTCCTGGAATTAACACCCTGTAGCTGTTGGTGCATGAGTTATTTTCTGGGTGATACTAGAAAAAGAAGGCTAAAATCCTATCATCTACAGCTTTATGAATTCATTTACTATATAAACAAGGCAATAGGTAAGGCAAAAATGAGAAACTCTGAAATCTAGACTTCACAGGCCACTACTACTCACATTGGTAGCTTTCTCAGTCCTACAAACAATGGCACAAAGCAACTTCTCTGTAGGAGCAAAATATCACTGCCTCAGAATAGGGGGACAGAAAAAAAAAAAAAAAAGTAAAAATAAAAGCTGATGGGTAAGCAATGTGGCAGCAGAAGTGCTGAGGTGAAACAAAGCTATGGTGGCAATAGAATATATTCCATACAGCAGGCTCCTATCTGGTTTTGAATAAGGCTGAATATCACTAACAGTTCAGTAAAGCATCACATCGATGATGCTATCTCAGACCAAAACAGTGCCAATAACTCAGGGACCTTACTCTCCAGTGAATCCTGCCTTCAAATAACCCAAAGAGAGTGCAGAATAGATATAAAAGTCAATCGTTCTGCTTCAGAATATTTGATGCATACTTTCCCATGTCTAAATGTCAGTGCACAAGTGTAATGTGATAGAGAACTACAATTAAATAGTTTTATGGCTGACACTTAAAATATATCCATAGATCAGAGTTGAAATTGCTTCCTTCAGTGACATGCGTATAATAAACCTCCCAGAAACCAGCAGGCACAAGATTACTTCTCTGTGAATTTATTCCATATCCTTCACACTGAGAATTTTTAATTGGTTGCATTTTTAATATTCATAGGTGTTAGCAGGTCATAAAATTGGCAACTGCTTGAGAGAAGTTTCAGCCATTCAATAAATTCTAGGAATGTTCCCATAAATTGTGAGTAATATTTCTTGTACCAGCACATACAGGGGCAGGAGACTGAAAAAGAAAATTGCAAGAAACACAATAGGCTTAATTTTGTTTTTCCTTTTACAGCTGACAAACTGCTTTACCTCTGGTGAATCTGCTGATCATGTGGTTTAAAACAGAGCTAGCACTTTATACCCTCTTTGCTGGTGACTAGTGAGGAAGCACGGTTATTCCACCTTTACCCTTGCAACCACTCAAATTGTATGTAATAGCAGGCAGGTGACTTAAACACACAGTGGTCCATGTTGTCCTTTTTGCTCTAGTTTAATAGGCAGATATTTATTTGTAGAGATCATAGTTAGGGATATTGTCTTTATTATCATGATATTCTGTAATTCCTACAGTAGTTCTCCAGCAAAGACGTCCTCACACTTTGGATCAGATTCAAGGAAGAATTCTCAAATGCATCAAGGACACAAAATTAGGTTTTTCCCAGTGGTGTTTCTAACCCAATTTGAAATCACTATCAGTACTTGTAATTCCCCTCTTGTCCCCACAGTGCTGGGGACTCCTTACATAACAGTTGTGTACAATGCATGTTCAGTCTATCAGCTATGTATTGATTAGACAGAAAAAGCAAACACAAATCTGAGCTGTTTTATATGCCAAGATGAATAGAATTTGCAAAACCATTCAAGCAATCTGGACACTACAGGGACAACCTCAAGAAGAACTAATTTGTGTAGCAATTTGTCTACTACCTTCAAACCAAGGATTTATATCTGTGGGCTCTTCATTTTCAGGTGATACCAACAAAACTGACATCACTAGGAGACACAATATGATATATTAGCTTGGAATTATTAATCTGATTAACTGAATATGTTTTAGCAATGAACTGGTTTTAAACCAAAAGATACGACATACTCCTTGACTGCTGTTGCTTAGTTATGAATTCAGTCCTGTCTTATCAGATACTTCTTAGGGAGAGGCAATGTTGAATTTCAGGAGATTATTTGGATAAAGTTTTGATGCAATTCTTATTATAAAGCTAGTCTGCTCCTAAAAACTTCTTAAAATAAACAAATGATTCTCAGCATTGACAGTCAGGGAACAGAACCAAAGCATTACCTAATATTTCATTATGTCATCTGCTCCAGCACCAACAATTTTCAGGATACAATTTTCTTTATTTCATCAAGGTCTCTAAAGCATTACTGAAAAATTTGGCTGTGTTACTCATTTCAATTGTTTTTATGCTTTTTGGAGAGCTCAGAGGTGAAATGCTTGCCTTTTATTGATGCTGTGTTGACATCAAGCAAAAATGCTTATTGAAAAATGGCTTAGAGGAAAATATATCTTATAAATTTATCAAGACCATTTCTATACAGGAATGCAGTAAAATGTGGGAAAGTAACTGTATGTCATCTAAGTAAGGTTGAGGAGAAAAGTATTATCCAAATGCTGTGACCACCAGCTCCCGCTCCCTGCCCTACCTTTCACTTGTTGTTTGCAAAGAAGAGGCAGGTCATAGTAGGGTAACAGCTGAGGGGGATGAGTCTAGCTATTAAACAGTGATATCGAAGATGAAAGAAAAGAAAGAGAGAAAGAAAAGGGAGAAGGAGAACACTAGTCCAGAGTTGACAGGTGGTTCCTTGTACTGTCAAAATACAAGAACATTTCCTTTTCTTATTCAATTTCCAAACCAGTCCTGATGCAAAGGAGAAGTCAAGAGAAAAGTTTTAAAACTGAAATCAGAATCAAGCATGATATAACAGAATATATTAGTGGGACTCAGGAGGAAAGACAGAGGTCCTCATTAGATAGTAATACGTCTTACACAGAAGACCTTGAGTAAAGAGACAGGTAATTGAAGATACAGGCGTAAGTTAAGGTAGGCAAAAGCACAGAGAATGTGGTAGAAGAAGAGAGGATGTTCACGTGTACAGACAATGAGAGTGAACAAGAAATGCTAGCTTGTGGGTAAGAAGGATAATAAGATGGAAAATATGAATAGGCAGTAGCAAATGGAGGGTGGTTGGAGTCCAAAGTAAGTACACAGCCTTCTGAGAAAAAGGGAAAATGCCAAGGAAAAAGACACAGAAAAGAGAGAGAAAGCAGAGGCCTGCAGTTTGCTGGGGGGGAGAGAGAGCAGGCACTGAGGTAGTTTGGGCAGGAGGGGACAAAAAGTGAGAAATGGCACAAAAAGGGAGCAGGTAGGGACAGAGCAGAAACAAAGATCTGAAGGACAAGGTTAAAACAACAAAAACAAAAAAACATACAGATGCCAAAAAGGGAGAAGGCGGCAAGAACATGGGGCTGGCACCTTAGTTGCTGACAAAAAAAAAAAAAAAAAAAAAGAGGAGAAAGACCATGAGCAAATTAAGGTGGGTGCTGGTGAGAAATGAAGGTGGGAGCACCTCACGGAGAAAGAGTGGAGTGACAGGAGAGACTAAAGAGGTATGGGGCCAAGGAAGGACAAAAAATGGGATGAATGCTGAGATTTCACCACTCAGGTGCCCTGCTCCCTGACAAATCAGAGCTTTGGCTGCAGGTGGGAACCACCTGCAGTGCTGAGTAGTCCTGACATCAAAATAACACTGTGCAAGTGCAGCACCGGCACTGCTGGGGTAGATGCATTGACTGAGGGAGAGGGAAGGACAGCGAACAACCCTTCATATAAAGCAATGCAACACGAGCAATGTGGCAGAGGACTGGCATGGAGCTGGTGATCAATAAGTGAAGAGCAAGCACAGCATCCAGGAAGTCCATAAACTGAGGAGATGTACATCTAGCCTAGATATAATCTGTTATCATCAGCAAATTGCTGCTTGCTTCCCTCTTTGCCAATTGATCTTATTAATCCTGTCCTCTGATTTAAAAAAAAAACTTATTTTAGGTGATGTTTTGACTGTGACTGTTCTGGGGTGGGATTGGATGACAGAAGCACAGTGACAGGAATCACAGAAAAGGGAACGAACCGGCCGAGCTTCAGTGGCCACCACAGCCTGAGCCGGGGAGCAGGGATAAAAGCTGCTTCCTAACTATTACACAACCAGCGCCAGCAGAGAGGACCGGAAAAGTCGAGGGGAGGCTCCCGGCTGCATCAAAACCTGCAGAGCACAGACCCTAAAGCCAGCGGAGGGCCGTGATTTATGAACCGCCGAGCATCCGTCCTTAGGGGGACCCCAGCTGCAGCTCCACAGCCTGCCTCCAAAGCACCCCTGGGGCACCCCACAGCCCGGGAAGGGCACTTCAATTTCCTTCTCCCCCCCTCCAAACCGCCCCTCCCACCGTTTTTTTTTCTTTCTAAAAATATAAATAAATTAATAAATAAATGAAGCTCTAATTCTAAGAAGGTGGTGAAACGTTTCGCCGGCTGCCGGCAGGGAAAGCTTTAAAAAAAAAAAAAAAAAAAAAGGAAGAAAAAAAGAAAAAAAAAAGGAAACGGGAGGGCTAAATGCTCCTATCCCTTGTGTACACCCCCCCCCCCCGGCTCACCTTGAAGGACATCCTGAGCATCCCCTGCTCCGCGCCTCTCCGCGCAGCTCCGCGGGGCCGGGGCGGGGCACAACGCCTCCCTCCCTCTCTCCCTCCCTCCTTCCCTCCTTCTCTCCTTCCCTCTCTCCCTCTCTCCCTCCCTCCTTTCCTCCTTCCTTTCTTCCTTCCTTCCCCCTTTCCCTCCCTCCTGCAGGTTAGGATGCTCAGGAGTTTCTTGCCATCAGTCCCGTTTAAAGGCTGAGGGGTGGTGATGATTTTTTTTTTCTTTTCTTTTCTTTTTTTTTTTTTTTGATGATGATGATGTTGGTGATTTTTTAATAAGCCCCCACATCGCCCCCCAGTACCATCCCAAAACGCAAGCCTCCCCCCCCCGGCGGCTGGCACAAAGCTGCAGATGGGGCACACGATGGTGAGCGTCCCCTGTAGCATCCCTGTAACACCAACACTTCCCTGCATGGGTGATGTGCTCCCATTAGACAGCCAATAAATTCCTGATGGCTTAATTTTAAGTCTGTGCGAGCGGGCGAGCAGAAAGCCGGTGCGTGTCCTGTTTC